TCAAATTATCTCACAAATTATGACACTCAAAAGGCAGGAAGTAAGGAACCGAGATATCATATGGCATATAATGGTGGTGATCTTCAATGGAAGCATCCACGTGCGCATGTTGACCAGAACACTGACGATAACACTGCATGTTGACCGGGCACAAGCTCAGTCCATGCAGGGGCCGACTTCAGTTTGTTATAAAAGTCGGCCGACATCAAGACGCATGTGGCCACCCAGCCTAAACAATCCATCCACCCAGCAACGGCGCAACTGCAGTCGATCCACATCCATCCTGCCGACACCACGTCCCTGTCCGCCAGCGAGCATCGTCCGGCGGCTATATAAACCCGCTCGCTCACCACGATGGGGAAAGCAACTAGAAGAAGCTAGTAACCACGGCGGCTATATCGAGATGAATCTCGCCAAGGAGAAGGTGAAGGACGCGGCGAGCACGGCCAAGGCCAAGGCCAAGATCACGCACGCCAAGGTGGCCGAGAAGACGGAGGCGGCGACGGCGAGGTCACACGACGAGCGTGAGCTGGCGCACGAGCGGGGCAAGGCCAAGGTCGCCGCCGCCGAGGCCGAGCTGCACCAGGCCAAGGTGACCCACCGCGAGGAGGCCATGGAGCACCGCCTCCACAAGCGCGGGCACAAACACGGCGGCGGTCACTGATGTGAGCCACACGGCCGGCCGTAAGGCTGTCAAGATGTACTACTGTACATGCATCCTTCATGCTTGCAAGCCGGCCTATACTGGTTTCGTACTCTTGTTTCATTTTTTTTCTAATCCCATTCCAAATCTGTGTTGACTTACGTCGGGCTTCATTTGGAGAGGTACTGGTGCCCCATGTGCATATGTATATATGTACTGTATGTGTGATTTGTTTTTATCTTCTTGAATAATTAATACTAGCAGATTGACACATCGAAAATTTGATATGGCTCATACTACCCTATAGTCCTATTATCTCAGCAGTTAGTCCTCCTCGGGATGTGCGGGTCTTCACCTATTTCTTGCGGTATAGCACTTCTCCATTCATTTCTGCACAGTGCGGACATAGTTTGTCTTTTGGTCATTATTGAGGCCCAGCTAGTTTGGTCCAGTTCGGTCTTGAGTCGTCAATATTTTCGTGGAGGAAAAAGTCCAAAACAAACCTTAAACTATTAGACGAAAACTAAACTAAAGCCTAAACTTCTAATCTCTGAAATCAGCACACCAAACTTTCCAATCCCAGTCTATTTAAAACCTTACAGCGCGTTTGGTAGTTTGAGGGAAAGGAACCGGGAATTATTAAAGGGGAATTGGCTGTGGGATTAGAGATGAGAAGTGGACTATTAGTCCCAATCCCACATTTGGTGTAGGGTGGAAATTATACGTGGGAGTTTGACAGAAAATTAACTTCCTCTGTTTGGTTCAAGGGTCTTGGAATGGGAGTTATTAATGATACGTTTAGTAGCTACAGAAACTGAACTGACCAAGGCCAATTAAAAAAGATTGGCAGTATAGAAAGTGAGCAAAAATAGATACAAACACCATTTCAGTAGCTCAAAATGAGAAACTGAAATTAAATCTAAAAACTGGGCAAACTAACTAAGGAAAAAATGTACACTATCTCTGCACATGCTGAGATTATCCAGGTGTTGACCCAAAAGCCAATCTTCCTCCGACATTTCAAGACCTACCTGAGCCAGCTGACAGCATTTACCAAATAATATACTACTAATAATTTGAATGCAAAAACGAAAATAAAATTAGTAAGCAATATAATGTCATAAGATCACCGTTGTAGGTAAGAGGAAATGAGAGCAACACATGACACAACAATACCCACACCGGTTGATGAAAGAGATGAAAATATCCTTTTCTTATAGCATTAGCATGAATCAATCATTCAGTATATTTCCGTAAATGTACTACTAGTGCACTGTATAGGGTATGGCAACATAAAATAAATTGGGAAGCACCAAATGTTGTTACTGACGAGTTTAAAAGCAAACGAGTAGTCCTGAGCTAAAAAATAAAACTAAGAATCCAGAATTGTAAATCTGAATATTCAATTATTTTTTGGCCGCGTCGAGCTCCTGACGAACAAACACCACATTGTAATCATCACGCAAATTGATGAAAAGTTCTGTCTTTCCAGCATCACCACCAATGACACGGATAGCCATTACAACCTCTTCGGTTATGAGACCGTTAAGATTCTGGAGAATATCAAGTAACTTGGTTCTATTGGCCGATGTTTGCTCATGAATTTGCGATTCATGCATAAATGCTCTCTGTAAACCATTCATGGTTTTAGCATTCTCCTGCTCAGCTTCCAAAAACTTTGCAATTGTATTCGACACACTTGCAAGACCTGACTCAAGTGCATCATCATCAGGGTATGTTCTCTTACGACCATGCCTAGAACCACCGGATGGGCTTGTATCCTCCTCATTTAATTCAGGAATATTCTCCTTGGCTGGTTTGCTAGTAAGTTGTGCATCTACTGTTGATCCATCTTCTACAATTTCTTCTTCACCCGGACCTTTAGCACTCCCTCCTTTAGCTAAATCAGTAGCATATACCTCATATAGCTTGTCAAAGTTAACCATAGGCTTCATGTACAGAGGACCTGCTCCCTCACGAGACTAAAAAAAGAGCATGAATTTCCATTAGAAACTAAATTGCAGTTGAAAATAACATGAAACAGAGAGACAATTTATTTACA